GGCGGTTTTTGTCAAATAAGCTTATTTTGATCTCAGAATAGAAATTATCGCAGGCTTTAATTCTTAATTAAAAGTGTTGTCTTTGCTTGCACCTGTTCCTGGGTGTGTAACAGCAGTGCCAAGTCATGCTAGTGGAAGTGGGGCCTTTAAATGTTCAAAATGTGGCAAACTTTACTCTGTCAGAATTGGTCTTTTTTTCTGCCAGAATTGGTTTCATCGGCCATTTAATTCTTCAAATTCTTCTATTTCGCTGATTCTCCTCTGCCGCGGGTGTATTGGTCATCGTCAGACATTGACGGGCGAGCTATTTTTATAAGCGCTTTGGTCGACTACTTCCACTGTATGCTTCCCGGGAAACCGAGAATGTTTCCGAGTCGTTCTCTAGGTAGCAGTTGAAAAAGCATAGAGCATCCTATAGAGTATGGATATGAGCTATGTATGCAATTATCATTAGTAGTAGTAGTAGTAGTAGTAGTAGTAGTAGTAGTAGTAGTAGTAGTAGTATCATATGTATGTGAGTGTGTTGCATATTTGTGTGTAAGAGTGTGTGCGCAAATGTTTGTACTGTAAGTCTGGGCGATGGAACGCAAGGAACATTAGACAAGTCTCTACTTATGTTTCTTAACCTTGTTAAATGATGTATGCGGTTGTTTTGTTAGTTGTTTCTTTTTTGTTTTTTGTTTTTGTAGTTGTTGTTTTTTGGTTGTGGGTTGTTGTTTTTTTGGGGTGTTTTTAAAAATATTTTTGTTTGTTTGTTTAGTTTATTTTTTATTGTTGTTGTTTTTGGTTTGGTTGGGGGGGAGGGTTGTATGACCTCACCACCCGGCGTAACTATACCCAGTCTCCGCGCTAACAAGTTCGCAAACCTTGGCAATATCCGGAGAAAGAAAACACTAAAATTCGCCGTCTTTGTCCACACTATCCCAGAGAAATCAGAAATCGATGTCTGTGGTCGGGCTGCTGAGAGTGAGTGAGGGGCGGTTAGACTGTTAGTGTTAGACCTCTAGCTCTGTCTTGTGCGTGCCGACGTTCGCAGTTGAAGGCCGTATAGTGAGAGAGGGATGGTTGTGACTGTGAGCTCAAATTATGACGATCGGATTTTTTTATTTGAAAAAATTTTTTTACTTAAATTATTTAGTGTAGAAAAGATCTAGTAGAGAGAGGTAGAGGAGTAGTGGAGGTAAGCAGGGGGTTGGGGGGGGGGATTTGTGTGAGTTAATTTGTTAGGTTTTTGTTTTAATTATTGTTATGTGTTTTGTTGGGGGTATTTTTAGTTTGGTTTGGTTTGGTTTGTTGTTATTTTTGTTGCTGTTGTCGTTTTGTTGTTGCTGTTGTTTTGGGGGGTTAAGAGGGAGTGGTAATGGAATCAGGACCAGAGTGAGTATGGCATTATAATAAGGTGTGGGTTTGGAGGTGGGGTGGGCGACATAATGGTGGCGAGATTAGAGGGCGAGTTGACTTGGGAGGAGACGAAGGTGGAGTGTCTGTGTGTGTGTATGAGTGTGTGTGCGTATATGTGTGTATGTGTGTGAAAGAGAGAGAGAGAGAGAGAGAGA